AAATTCAGAGAAGCAAAGGGAAATTTGGAAATTGTATACTCAGGAATGTACAAACCCATAGGTGTATAACATCCTAGTCTTTGGCCCTGATTTTGAAAAAAATGTCAAAATTCTGTATTGGTATACTAACACATATATTTATATAAGTGTATAGAAGAAAAATTTGTAAGGCTCTAAATCGATCACTGACAGTGATTATTCTGGGTTGAGAAGTGAGATTGGGTATGGGGAGCATACAATTTTTATTCTATATATTTCTGTATTATTATAATTCTCTCTTTAAGGGTTTATATTCATGTGTTACCTGTATAATTTTAAAAGTAAAAATCATATAAAGAGAAAAAATTGATATTGCTTCAATCAGGTAATTTAAATAATGTCTCACTTAACTACCATGGAATGGGGCTAACGTTTATGGTTTTAAATATATTTTTCTCTTTTGCCTTTCTGGGTTCATAACCTTCGCTCTAATGCACTTGAGCCTCCGCTGACCTGGCAGTTGGGTGGGCACAGGAGTGGTGGTAGGGTGGACATTGACAGTTTTAGGAGTAAAAAGGTAAGATAGAATTTAACTGCCAAAGTTGGATTATGCAGCATGGCAATAGGCTTGCAAGCAAAACTTTTGTCTTGAGGAAGGATATTCTAAATTTCCTCATCTCCTTTTAGATTATCAATCCCTGAACATGAAAGATTTACATCATAGATCTGTGGTGTGGAGAGGATGACAGCCAGGTCGGTTCCAAGGTTGGTAGGGAGAAGAGCATAACATAGAAGACGTAAAAGGGAAGACTTTTCAGCTCAGGGATGATTGTGGAGTAGAGAGAGACAAGTGTGAAACCGTTAGAAGTGGGTCCTGATTTGCCCATCCTTGGACTTCAGCCTGGGAAAGGGGGAGCATATTAGACAAGCTGTAATAACACTGAGGGCAGTGATGATCGTCAGGAAGGAGATCCATTCCCAGGTACCAGTACAGGGCAGCCAATTTAATTAAAGATCATAGAGCCAGGCACAGGAGGTCTGAGGTTCAGCCTTGCCTCTGTTATGGAGTGGAAAGGAGGAAGAAGAAACTGAGATTCTTGCTGAACAGTTTTTTCTGAGAAATCACTACAGGGGTGAGGGAGGTCTGCAGAGTGGACTATAGAGAGAACAGTCCAAGCCAGGCCTCAGAGGGGACCACAGCTCAGTGAGTGTGAGGTGAGGTCAGACTGGCCAGGTAGAGCTATGGGCCTGCTCATGTGCACAGTGCCTGGATGTTAAGTCACACCATCCTGGACTTCACCTGTGTGTGCCAGCTGGGAGAGGGTGATCAGACAAAGGACATTATCTTTTAGGGAAGAAGAAACCCCTCCCTTCCTCCCACACCCAGGCACAATGCTTTTCCACCACAAGGAAACAGAAGATGTTAAGTAATGTATTATGCTTAAATTAAATAGCAATTTCTAACAGTTGATGCCAAAGAGTGGTTTAATTTATAGCCAAGTATTTTTAATTATGTAAATTCTATTATAAATTACATGTCACTTTCATTTACACAGTATTTAGGGCTTTGTTGATAGTTTGTTTTGCTTTTGATTGCAGTTTTGATCATTATAGTACAATTGGATGAGTTATGTGGCACATTCCCATTCATACTCAAACTTCTCTTGATGGAAGCCCATGTGAGTGACCCATGAAATCTCAGCTCTCGGTATTACTGTTATTCAGTGGGAATCACCTGAACTGGAAGTATAGCAATCAGGGAAATAAGTCAAAGAAATAAATTGCCTCTGTCAAGTTAGCTTTGGAGACTAGAAAGTCTATAGTAGAAGCAAATATCATAATCTTAAAATTATTTTTCTATAAATGAATGTTACACATGACAGAGGTCAATATACCTTTGAAAGCCTTAGTTTTATCCATTGTTTCTTTCAAGTTGTATTCAAGTGTAACTCGTTTCATTCTTAGGTAACTTACAATCTGGAGATGATGACATTAATCATCATAATTAACATTAAAGAGAGCCAACTTTTTACTCTTTCTGGTTTACTATTTCTACCTTCATTTTCTTATTGCTGCCCAAAGTTATATCATAAAACAGAGTAACAATGTTATTCAGCTTCTAGAAACTCAATCTTCTAGTTGTAAATTTGAAACAGCTGTTTATATATTTTGTCCCATAGAGGAAGACAGAAAGATCTATTAAAGAACTAACATCAGAGTTAATAGAGTCGAATTATCATTCTTGCCTTAATTATTTATTTCCCAGTGGTCCGCGCTGTAGCATGAACTTTGGGGTGAGACTACAATCAACATTCATTCAACAGAGGCTACAGTAGTGGCCTACTGCCCCCCAGAAACTCTGGCATCTCAAATATTTGCCTTGTGTGGGAAATCTGATGCCAGGTGCCAGTTAAAAGGGACTCTCTCTATAAGACAGGATTGCAGTGGAACCAGCTCAGAAAACTATTGTATTCTTTAAAATCTTGAGATTCAAATGCACTTGAAAGCATGGTGAAGCTCACAATTCAATATCCCCCATGTATTTAGATCATAATGGCTTCATTTTAAAATTAAAGAAAATGTATCTGCCTTGGTAAGGCCTTTATTGTTAATTTTTCTGCTTTACTGAAAGCCCTCTCTGGTGAAGAGGAATCTGAGAATCAGAAAGTCAAGATGTATTTATGACCCATAATACAGGAGGTGCTTATGACCCCTCTGCAAGAGCCTGCTTAAAAATGATTGAGATATTTAATTCCTATCTATATGTCGTGATAGCAACCCGCTCAAAGGAACTCTCTTAGCACAAAACCGTTGGGCTGGTGCCCTCAGGAGAGAACTTTCCACATTCACGAATTCACAATTATCTGAGCAACCAGTTACACCATACCTGGTATTATTCTGCATGAAAATATATAAGGAAACAGTTATTACCGAGTCCTGGCCTGGTCTCCTGGATTGAAAGAATGGCAGCAAAAAGAGCAGGTGAGATAAGGGTTGAGGAGTCTTTCCTAAGATGGCCATGTGCTCCAAGAACAAATACCACAGAACCCACCTTTGCCTATGCTAGCCCTGGCCACCCATCAAGAGCAACAATCTTCCATGGCAGGCTTTGACTGAGCCACCTCCAGAACCAAAAAGGGCAGACCTGGAGGTTAACCAGGGGCTCTGTCACCACTGGGCTGGAGATAGCCTGGGTTGGGATGAACAGAGATGGAGATACATGAACAGCAAGCCATTAGTCCTCACTTTCTCCTACTAGTGGGACCCATCCCATCTCCTATTTGGAATGCAAGCTGGCTCCGAATCTTGCCTTGCTGCTACCAGAGCCCTCCCACGTGGAGACTGGCCCTATTCATGGATCTCCCTGTGGCCACTTGAATGGACATGCTGGAAACATGCCTTTGGCATTCATTTGCTGCCAAGAATTGCATCTGTCCAAGAGCTCTGGGTGCCCTGTAAACAGCGTCCTTTTAGACATGACTTTAGGCCTTTTCTGCAGGGCCACTGCTTATAGCCACATAGGCTTCCCACTGCATGAGTACAGCAGGTGTCATTCCCATAGGCCATAGTGTAAATGGTGCCCTTCTGGAATAGCCAATGCAGAGGACCTGCCCATCCAACACAAGTTGCCACACTCCTTGGACAGTGTGACTTGAGATGTATGGAGATCCATGGAGGAGGCTGACTTCCTATTCTAGTTAATTTTTTCTCATCCATGACATCTTACTCCCATTCTCTGGGCTTATGATAGTTTTTCTTCTTTCAACTGCCTGCATACCTCATGGCCAAGACCCTGCTTTGTGATTCCACCAATTCTCATTTAGCTAAGTCTAGCCCCAGGAATGAAAGACGGGGAGGGAGAGATACATTTGAGAAACTGCCCATAACTCTTGTTCCAACAGGAGAAGACTGCAGAGAGCACAAGATGTCTCTGACCACAGTCAGTAGCTTATAGAGCATAGTGAATTTGCACTGAAAGAGAACTGTACTTCTTGTGGCTCATTCATGGCATATGTATGTCAAAGGCGACTAGGCAAATCAATAATAAAGGCACTCAAAATATATGCCTGTACTTTGCCGATTTGAATAAAAATAGCCTGTTCTTTAAAAACCTGAAACTTCATCAACATTGTTCTAAGAACCTGAGAACATGCTTCCATAAGCAGGTCAACTTCATTATCACAGGACAAGGTGGGCTCAGCCTACAGCACAGCAGCTAACAGTACAGATTCTGCTCCTGGACAACCGGGCATTAAATCTCAGGTCTACCATCTATCTGCCAATTTGGGGCAGATTTTTATCTATATTTCAGTTTTTGCGCTTATAATTTAGGAATAACAATGTTTTACTCAGGGTAGAGTAAAGCATTTAAAGTGGCACTTAGCACATCGTGCTTGCTGCTTCTAGTAGCCCAGAAGGGTTCACCCAGAACCATGCTTATAATTATGCTTATAATGTTTATTTATGGAGTACTCGATGCTTATTAAGTATGGAGTTTGTCATAGGATGTGTGGTCATATATTTTTATTATAGCATACACAACATAAAATTTACCATTTAAACCATTTTTAAGTGTACAATTTGGTGGCATTAAGTACATTCATGATGTTGTGCAGCCATCACCTCTACCTAGTTCCATAACTTCACTACTCCAAATGGAAACCCATACCCATTAAGCGGTTACATTCCCTTCCCTCCAGCCGCTGACAACCACAAATCTGCATTTTGCTCCTACGGAGTTGCCTATTCTGGATATTTCATATAACATGTGGCCTTTTGTGTCTGGCTTCTTTCATTTACCATAATGTTTTCAAGGTTCATCCACGTTGTAGCACGTATTGTTACTTCATTTCTTTTGATGAGTGAATAATATCCCATTGTTAGATATGCTACATTTCATTTATCTATTCATTCATTGATGGACATGTGGGTTGTTTCTACCTTTTGGTTTTTGTGAATAGAGCTTCTATGAACATTTATATACATATTATTGTTTGAACACTTGTTTTCAATTCTTTCAGGTTTATACCCAGGAATGGAATTGCTGAGCCATAAGGTAATTCTATGCTTAACTTGTTGAGAAATGGTCATATATATTTAAACAATTATTTCCATGTCCTTATAATGTCCAAATTTAAAAATAAAACCATCGTATTAATTGTGGAGGAGATGTACCTGGATAGTGACATCTGTAGTCACTTTCCTGGTCCCCTGATTGCACAGACAGTGAGGAGCAACCCTTACTAATGGCATTCAAATAAGGATCATTTGTGATAGGGTGACTGACAACTTATAATTACAGAGAAGGGTTATTGTGAGTAACACTGTTCATATTTTTGTGTTAATTTCAATGTTGTTTCTAATATTTCCAGGAATTTAGCCAATACTCTCCTCCAAATAAGTATAACCAAAACATACATTATGACACTAATTTAAAATTGAACTTATTTTTAAATGACTATATTGATGTTTTATTACTTCTCCAGTGAACTTTTGGTCATCACTAGAAAGAATGTGCCCTGCAATAGCAGTGATGAGTCCGACTCAGTTCCCGAAAGAGAAATGCGAAGACTCAGTCAATCATAAAATCTTCAGGGGAAGTTCATCTGGAAGAAGTCAACTTTTTCCTATCACACACTCTTGATGGCTGCCAAATACAAGCTAGATGTCCAAACAGTAAGGATACAAAGTAGTCAGTATCAATATAATCAGAAATAAATTTGGGACACTTTTTTAGGAGCTAGCACGATTTGCGAATGCAAAATTAATTTTAGAATTTCTATGAATTTTAAATCAAATACATACATATGTATATATATTTATACAAATATGTATGTTTCTGCATGATGCTAATGTAGTTGATTTCTGGCAATGATACAGAGTCACTTTGTGGTCACACTAAGTCAGGGGAAGCCCATGTGTTATAAATAAACATTTGGCTCTACCAAGCAGAGATTTATTAAAAGTTGTACAGAGGCAAACCAAGGAGGCATGCCGCGATCCCCTGCAGGTACCATTCCATGTGCTACCAATTACTTTACAATTCTGCAAAATGCATAACAGCAACCAGATTTAGGGTACAGAAAATTTTAGTAAATTTTATTATTAAACTCCACTAAAATGAGTCTGTTTACATTTTCCCCCCCGAGCAAAGAGGGAAGGGTCTAAGATTATCTATATGTGAATCATGTATCTCATTGCTCTCTCTAGTTGTCAGTTCTGAATGAAGACCTTCTGGCCCAGCCACTAGCCAACAGCCTCAAGAGAACATTCTTGGGAGAGGGATATATTTTTATCAAAAGGTTTGATTATGCACAGGACCTCCACACAGTATGTATCAGCTGTCTCAAATTCTTTGAAGCTCTTGCACGAAGTGGCCTTTAGCAACTTCTAACCAAACCTGGCTTTCCAGGATATCCACTGGAGATCTGTTATAAGCTGATTTCATAATCATGTGTCAGACGTTGGAAAACTAGGGAGCATCTTGTTTCATTCACTACCACTAAATTGAGGTTTCACCGAATAGAAAGCAACTAATTTCATGCAGCCAGTTCTGAGGATCTACCATGAAGTTGGAAGCTAATTTTAGAACATAATTTTAGTCTTAAGGGAAATTCAATACTGCAGACTACGAGTATGAGTTAAAAACCTCTGAGGAGGGTATTTTCATATGAACTGTACTCTTAGAGCATAAATTTTGAAAGATGATACAGGTTACTTTTCATTGATGCTGTTGCTATAACAATATGGATAATTGTAAAGCTTGAAGAAGCTTGATTTCATTTGTTATCCTGTACCACGGAAACATCTAATATCGTCATCATCATTAACAAATATTTTGGGGATTTATCAAGTCTGGGGCATTGGGCTGGGTACGGAAACTATAAAAAGACTGGTTGAGAGTCTCACAATTTAAAAAGAAATATTAGGAACACATGAACATAACAAAATAGCAATCCAAGGTTAAGTGCGAGATGAGTGGTAACTAGAATCACTGAGGATGTGAGACTTGATCTAGAGGAAGTAAGACTTGACCTAAACTTGATGAATGGTAGATCTAGATAAATGGAGCAGAAGGCACCTAGAAGAGCTATAGATGATCGAAAACATGGATGTGGGGATGAAAATGGCACACTCATAAAGGCAGTGTGGGATAGACAGGCAGTGACAAGGCTATGAATCAAGGGTCAAATTCTGACTCTGCCACCTATTGGCTATATTAACTTGGACAGGCTATTTGACTTCTTGAAATTTTTTGTCCATAAAATGAGGACAATGATAACTAGACTGCCGGCTTTTCATCAGGATTATATAAAGTAATTTATTCGGTTATTCTTTTAGTCAATAAATATTCATAAGCACCATAAAGATTCTTAGTAAAGTTAGCTATTCTTACAAATAATAAGTTGACCCATTTAGAAAGAGCAAGTCTGTGTGGGAAATTACTAGAACCTGAAACCAGAAGGATAAGCCATATCCAAATACAAATAATAGTCACCATCTATTTATAGCCTCTCGATAACAGAACTGATACAAAGACAAACCAATAACAGAAACCAAATGATGGTCTATTTCTAGTATTCATAATATATATATATATATATTATGAATATATATATGTGTGTGTGTGTGTGTATACATATATATATATAATTTGTTCAATAATTTACAAGTAATTCCCTATTTTCTTGTTTGTTTGTTTTTAAAGGGTAAGGGAAGAAGGTAATCAAAACATAAAATAAAAAATAAAATAAAAAAATATCCAGACATACAAAGGTTAAATTGGGCAAACAGAGCCCCTTATAAAAATCTGCTTTTTCTAAGCAGTAAAACAAAAATTATTAAAAGGATTTAATATAACATAGACATAGACTTTAAAGTTCTTTCATTCAACACCATTTACTGAGTTCCTACAGGATAGACATCGGATATGCAGTAGAAAATAAAAGATGTGCTACCTGTTTGGTTTAACAGGGGAGACAAACAATAAAGAATAATATATAAAAATACAAATGTGATAAGTGCTATGAAGGAAAAAAACAAACAGGAGAATGCCCCCCTCCGCCCCCGCTGAAACAATATGAGAACTGCTAATTTAGAATGGGGTGGGGGTCAGAGAGGGCTGTTCTAAGGACACGATGTCTGTGCTCAGACCTAAAGAACAGGCAGGAGTGAGTGAGGTGAGAGGTGAGGATAAAGCCGTCCAGGTCTGAGCCCTGTGGTGGGAAGGAACCTAGGCAACGGGGCAACATACATAGTCCTCAGAGAACTCACCAGACCTGGTAGCCTATGTTTTTCTTTTTAAATCTGTATAAATCTTGACCATAATAGATGACATCCAAGCCAACTTAGCAAGGGTGACCACTAAGACCCATTGGCAACTCTTGGAATAGAACTTCAAAAACTATTTCTGGCAGCGGGGCTAGTCTATTTCTCCAGCATACGTAGAAGGATGACTGGCAAAAGGTCTCCCAGCTTCGCATTCACACAAAGCAACTCATATTAGGCTCAGTGATTTATAGGAAATCATGTGACTACACTGTGTTCCGAGAATAAAATAATAATAAAGAGTGTAACAAAAGGTGGTAGGGTTAATTTTATTTTCTTTTTAAGATTATAACTCCTCCTCCCTGCTTGAACTAGGTGAGATGGCCAAAGCTTTTCCTGCAGGACCAACTTGGCAAATGCCCACTATTGACCTCTCTCTGGTCTTGCCGAGTCGGCCTTTACCCAAATACAACTCCCACTTAGCATAAATCCAAGGTTAATCAATTACAAGATGCCTGCAGATGTCTTCGCAGGAGATCCTGGGCACACAGGTGCTGTAGGTATCCACATTTACGTAAAATCCAGGAGGCTTGAGAACCCGATTCCACTATGAGCAGACAGCGTCTAGTGGGGAATGGTGGCAGAGATAATGCTCCACACCCAGGAGAGGTTCATGGTCCCTGAAAGAAAAGTTTCATTCTTTTCCTAATCCACATGGGGCAGGGGAGGGGACTGCTTAATTTGATTTTATTTTAATCTTACTTTCTGTCAAAACTGAAAATCAGTAGCCAGCCATCTCCCTTAATCACCTTATTGATATTGATATTGTGATGCTCTATGCCCAGTGAAACACTCTCTGAGAAGATGCTGTTGAAAAGCCCAAACTCTGTGAGTGTGAGATATTAGGAGGTGTTTTTACTTTGACATCCTCAAACAGAGTAGACCAAATTTAAAGGCCAAAAGGAATATGTATGGGATAAGGAAATGCAAATACAATGAACTGAGGACAAGAGACAGAACATCAAGAAGAGAGTAGCCAGGAAGATTTATTATGAGGAAAGGAAGTCAAATCAGAGAGAAAACAACAAGGCGACAGTGGTGGCCCCAACCCAAGGAGTCCGACGCTTTTCCCGACTGAGTAGAGCACACAGGACCTGAATATAACTAGCGTCTGCTTTGGGACAAAAGAGAGAGCAGAGCACACAAAGAGTCTGTCTCAAAAAAATCAGTCAACTTTGCATTTTTTTTTTTTCTCTTCAATTTTTCAAATACTCTGCTGGGAAAAAGAGGTGGGAGTTATTGGCTCAGAGTTAGTGAAGCCTGCTCTATATGACCTCAGTGACCCTTGAAGTGTGCATCTGTCACAACAGAGCGCACAGCTTCCTAACACCCTGACTTTGTCTACTGGACTCACACGAGGCCATGGGGTGAAATGCCCAAACAGCCCACCCGGCACCATAGCTACCAGCCTCTCTCCTTCTGTGGACAGAGGCCCAGACATGCAAATCAGCATCCCAGAAGCCTTCTTTCTGCCATTCTTTGGCTTCTGATTTTGTACTTCTTGAGATTCTATATAGAATCTCATCAATGGGGGTGACGATGCAAATATGAGCAAATGTTCCCTTGGATCTTAGAACACTGGAGGGAAAGGGTTTCAGAATAGCTCAATAGCAGCAAAAGCACTGGGTGTTAAACTGCTAATTCTTGTTGGCACAAAAGCTCATTGAATGCCAAAATGTTTAGTTAGAGTCAGGTCCCCACCCCCACCCCATTCACTTACTGGAGTTTTACAAATTAGCTAAGTGTGGCAGCTCAGACAGTGGCTGGTCAGGTTAGGACCCAGCTTCCCTGAGCAGCAGTTTGAGGCCCCTCCAACATCAGGTAACTAGATCTCAGCAGAACTGTACAAAATCCTTCTCACGTGGTGCCTTTCTTGGACCACAAATGGTTTTACCCAGTCACTGTTTACCTCCAGGTTCGCATCTCCTTTATACTTCCAAACATTTTGTTGACGTTCTCTGTCTTCTCCATTCTGATAAGCTTATACCTTTTAATTCTTTTATTATCATTTAAGTGAAATTTTAGTGGTAGTGGAGATAAACATGCGTCTGACTAGCCATATTTATTGGACGTCTTGTGTGTAAGTGGGGGAGTGGGGAGGGAAGGAAGGAGAGGAAGGGAGGGGGAGAGAGAGAGAGAGAGAGAGAGAGAGAGAGAGAGAGAGAGAGAGTTAGGAAGGGTGTCAGAAATCCTTAAATACCATCTAATATAAAACTCTAGGTGAATGTGGCAGTCGGTAAAAACTGTCTAGAACAAGGCTTGATAAACTACGGCTATGGGCATAGTCTGACTCACCGCTTGTTTGTGTAAATAAAGTTGTACTGGAATACAGTCATGCCCATCCATTTATGTATTACTATGGATGCTTTTACACTACAATGACAGAATTGAGTAGTTGAAACAGAGACTGCATGGCCTGTCTCTGTCCAAATATATTTACTTTCTGGGCTTTTACAGAAAAAGTTTGCCAACCT